ATAACGTCCAAAGCAGTGGTACGTTTCCACCTGTGCAAAAAATTATTTGCTACAAATTCAAGTTGTATACTGTATCGGGAATACGGTACGTCCCTAAAAGGAATTTTAATTCATGTAAAATAATAATCATTGGGTTTGAAATAAATATAAAAATTACCAAATCAAAAAAACGATTGCGTGTTGGTGAATTTCTTGCAGAAAAAAAATTATTTGTTGGCATATTTTAGATTGTGGTAGTGATCCCCCTTTAACCGTGTCTTAAGTCCGTCCTTAAACGTACTAATAAATATGTATACGATTTTATAAATAAAATACCTGTGACTTGACATGAGGGAAAATTAATTCGAAATAATTCCATTAAAATGAAAAATAAATTCGTAGAAGGAACTACTGGAAGTCAATTCCATTTATTTATGCCCTTATTTAGTGAAAAAAAGCAAGATGTTTTTTATATTGGTCGAAAGTTGATTCCGGGTAACGAAACGGGTTAAGTACGGATATTTTCCTTAGCTTACAACAACAACAACAACAGCAAACAATGGCGGACAAAATCTCAGCGGAAGATTTCGGCAAAATGAAGGTAAATCGAATTTATAAAAATTACATAAATTGTAACACTGGTTAACAATGTTGAATAAAAAGTGTCTTAGAGTGTCTATAAATCTAACAATTATTTTCAATAGTGGTACCCGATATTTCTGGTGAAAACTCGTGTTTACGAATAAAGTTCGTGGGTGGGGTATGATATAAAACAAACGATTTCGAGTCATTTCGGCCCCAAGACGTATCGGTCTCAAATTACCCTAGACGTTTCGGCCCCGGACGTTTCAGCCCTTTATCAAATCGGCACCATATTTGATTAAGAATAAGCCTTACCTGTATGTGTTTTATACCAGACTTTTAATAGCATTTCAATAAATGGATGAATAAAAGGAATAATCTTGAGATAAATTGAATAATTAAATTATGATTTTGTAATAGAATGAGGCTAAAATAGTGGTAATCAAAACAAACAGAACAGAATATGATTTTGAAAAAGGCAAAACCTCAAAGCCAGCTCGATTTACTTTTACTGTGGAATAGTATAAAATAATCTTTCATAATCTTTCACAATTTCTGTTTAAAACTTGTCATTCAGTATTTTATACACTGCTTCCATTTATTATGGTTCCCATATAAGTTCGCAGGACACCAGTCTACTCTTCCGTTTTCAATCAGAATACCTCAGCTTTTATCATTATCTTTTAATTCAAAAAGTTGCGATGTGTCAATTCAGTACATCAGACGAAAGTTTTCAAAACTATCACTATCTAGCAGGTACTCGCATTACCGTAAAGCATAGTAAGAATAATATACTTCCTACGTAAACCCGGCGTTGATCAAGCATCATTGTTGCCGGGCGGTTGATGCACATTCTGATACACTTACACTAATATATGCATAACTGTTAACACTAATACATATTTAACTTCAAAATATGCTTGAATATAAGGGTGACTGATCAGGGTTTTTTTTTGGTTGTTTTTTTAAATACAATCTAGAGCTCTACCTTTCAATTTTTTTAGAAAAAAAAGACAAGTCTTGTTTTTGATATAAACAACATTAATTTTATGCAATTACACTTTATATTGGCACCCTTGTTTTTTAAAATTCCCCATATTTTTTAATGAGAGGATGAGGAAATTCACCCCAATTTTTGAATTTCTAGAATAGACACTGTTTATATCAACTTTGTAGAACTATTCAAGAGAAAACTTCTGTGTGTTGTAAATCACAAAATGAAAAATTGACCAACCACTTTTTCAAAATTTTCACTCTTGTCAAGTTGTGAAAAGCGTTTGAAGATATGCTATTCTGTCTGTGTCATGAGTGCTGTAATCGAGCAAAACACCCCTGTCAAAAGTGATAATTGTGCACATTAATTTCTAAAAAGCTGGAATCACCCAAGTGTCATCTTCGCTATCATTTTAGGTTGCAGATTTGAAGAAAGCCCTGAAAGAGAGAGGTTTACCTTTGACTGGCACTAAAAGTGAACTTCTAGAAAGACTTAAGTCTGCTGTCCAATCAGAGGAAGGTAAATACAAATATTTAATTTTATCTCAGTCTTGTCATTATCACAGGTTGTGGTCAATATAAACCCTGTTACAATACCTATTGGTAGTAAATGAGCTTGTGATAATTTACTTATAGGTTATAGGTTTTAATCTTCACTCATAAATTTATCAATTAGGACTTCAATCATGAATAAAATAAAAATAGTTCACATGTAATTTTGTTCAAGGGTGGTTAACCTGCTTTTTGCTAATTTTGGTAAAGTTAGTCAGTAATTTTTTATTTAAGATATTAACTACATCACATGTGAACCAATTATCTTTTACAACATTATTTTACTATAAAAAATAATCTCAGTTATACTGTATGACCAATGACATCAGAATTTAATTTTATTATTTTTTACTTTCAAAATTAGAATTTAATACTCTGGCTTTGTAACATAGATTTTATAGATGAAGCCCCATGTCATTTCTAGGATTTATTTTATATTTTTATATGCTTGCTTATATTATTGGTTTACCTTTCTGTCAGAGCAATATATAGAAGACTTTCCTTTCTTTGATGACAAATTTCTTGAGTGTGAGGGTATGCCTACAATTTTTTTAAATAAGGGGATCCATCTATCAACAAGTGCATAAATCACTTACTTTGATTTCAGTCAGCAATAATGGGCATTAATTTTAATTAACATTTGAAATTTGAAGAAATCTTTTTAGGATTTTCTTCCTGGAATCAGGATTTTCAGTATCCAAAATATCATAGTTGCTAATTTTTTTTTAATTTTTTTTTTTTTTGGGGGGGGGGGGGGGGGGGGGGTGATTGTAATATCAAAGTTTCACATTGAATTGTAATATTGATAATACTATGTTTTTCAATGGCTTAAACCATCTGTGTGCTAGCAATGGTGATAGATAATAAGACACCCCATATCACTTTTTACTGCTTAATTGTTTACTTTAAACACGGAATTTCTTTACACTATTTAATTTTTTTTGGATAAAAAATACTCATTTCCTTCGAATTTGAACAATGGATCTCTCTACCAAACATATATAAAGAACAAAACAAAAAAGAGAAACACTTTCTGTTTGTATGGATTTTTTTTTAGTATTTTGATATAATTTTGATACCTGCATCTATTGATGGATGGATTTCCTTAATAAAGTTTGTGTTCTGTTAAGCTAGGGTAAGTTGGACCGTGCTGCAAATTGTTCAGTTTTGCTTACAATATAATTGTTTTAGCCATTTCAATTTGAAATCTTGGTCATTACATTTTACTTGAGTACCAGTCTTAAAAAATTGGATGATCCAAGATTTTTTCCTGTTCATGTGGCCTTTTTTGTATTTTTCATTTTTGTAAGTTTTTCATTTCAGTTTATTTTACTTTTGAACTTGTTAAGTTCTATTATTTTAGTGTTTATTTCATTTGTTCAGTTCAGTTTGTTTTGTTACTTAATGTAATGTTATGCTTATTTTTACCCATGTTTAGTTAAAAAAAAACCCATTCCTTTAATTGCCTTAAGCATAAAAAAATTAATTAAAAGTTAATTCCTATTCACAATTTTTTGTGAGTTAAATAATAAAGTAAGAGCACCTGTATGGTTAGAATTTTAAAATGAATGATATATGCTGTTATTTAGCCCTTACTATGCTGAAACCCAAATTAATTAACTTTAGTCATAATAGAGCCAAAACAGTTTGTACATCTGTGCAGTCTGACCAGGCTCTATACTGTTGGCTGAATAACTTTAAACTGTCATCTTGACATCCCCATTATTGGTTTTGGAATTGGACAGTCTTAAAAGTGGACAAGTCCATATGTTAAATTCAGCTGACAGTAGGTTAAAGGAACTCCACTGAGGTACAAAAGCCTCAAAAATATAAAATTTGAATTTCTTACAAATATCAGCATGAACACTTTAAAACAGAAAGATATGCGAAAGATAATGAAGTATTACTGGTAAAATTATACAAAACAAGGTGAAAGTCATCTTTTTGTGCTACATACTGGTTGGGGACCACCAAAACCGGACAACCACCAAACCCGGACGACCCAGAAAATGCTTAATTTAGTATTTTCTTTGTTCAGTGGTTGTCAGTCACTTTTTTATCAACAATAAGTGCATGTTTATTTTAAAATTAAGTAAATTAATTTATTTCAACCTCCATAAATAGTAATAATTTAATGTCTATTTCAAGAATGTTGACGTTGAAATTTGGGGGTCAAGAAAGCAATGCCTGACCTCATATACCAGCTATAATCATTTGCAGAGTGAATAATAGAATATCAAAAACTTCAGCATTTGTTGCTGAAATATTGTATATTATGTTAAAAATCTAAAATCAAAACACCCCAGCTTTTAACTAAATTCAATCATGTGATGTACATATGTGTCCGGACACATGGTACTGTAGTGTAGACAATCTAGGTAATTTTGATACCCTCCTTGTCGAGCCTCAGATATAAGTGTCAATACAATCGGAAATAAACAAACTAGTTTGTTAGTTAGGAGAAGAACCTAGCTGAACTGTGTCAAATTTTAAGGTCTCTAGGTTAAAAATTATGAAATCTGTACGGAAAAATGTTCAAAAAGTGTCCGGTTGATGGTCTCCGACCAGTACCTTTAGCTCGATTGGGCTGAAAAGCGTTGCAACACTTTTCAATTTAGAATAATAATTCTGGAAAACAGAGCGAGAGAATGGTCTGACATTATGCCCATTACTTTTTGGTCTAGACATACATCAGATGGAACATTAATCTCAAAAGAATATTTTAAGTCCAGTCATGTCAAAAAACCTCAGTGGAGTCCCTTTAAGGCTTACAGCATCATAAAGATACTTATTTGACATTGTCATTATCAGCCTAACACATTTCTGCATTCTAGAAACATTAAGTTTTTGTTGGAAGAGAACAAATAAGTTATCATTATGTCAAATCTGAAAATATATCGGACCAGATAGTACATACATAAATCAGCTGTAGACATGGGATTATTGACAGATATGATAAAATATGTTTATTTATATCATTTTAGCTGCCACTGACACTACAGCAGCTTTAGAAGGTAATAAGATATTAATAACAACATTAAAAACAACAACAACAAAACACTGATTAGGCTTTGTGCTTTATAAATTGTCTTTATGTGATTTTATTTAGAACAAAAAAACTTGATTTTTTTTACAAATCAGAGAAATGTAGCATGGTGGAGGTTAAATTGATGATATTTTCTAAATCAAAAAATACAAATGTAAAGAACGATATACAAATTAAAACATTGATAATAATCGGGGAATTAGCTCTTGTCAGCCTCAGAAAAGAGCGTCTGGCCACACTGTAGCATTAAATTTTAACCCTTACAAGGCTAAATGGACTTGTTTATCTTTCAATATATACATGTTTAGATCACTAAAAGAATCATGTTACATCATTTTATTGTCACATTCATGTAGTTCAAGATTTTATTTAAAAGTTTGAAGAAACTGTTTTAGAATGGAAGATCCTTGTAGCAAGTTTTTTGACATTTTCTTGAACAAGGTGAATAAATTGCTATTGAGATTGACAGTGTATGTTAGATTCTTTCTATCACATTACACAAAATGGTAAGGTTTAAACAAAATAACATTGTTTTTTTCATTTTGCATGCTACAATGTATTCTAGCTCTTTTATACAGTACTGTATACTTTGTTTAGCCACGAACTATTAGGCTTTTACTTGTATTGTATTACTATGTCAGTACAGTTGTATAACAATTTACCTTACATGCTTTGTCACACATATTAGAAACAGCAAAAAAACATAATATAGTTGTTTTATAACAAAGGGAATCAACAAATCTCATATGATAATCATTTACTGATAAAAACAGTTAAAGCTGCATGCCTCCAGATGAGACAAAATATTTCAATAAAATCAAACTTCAGAAAAATATTCTAAGATTTTCAGAAAAGTAAAAAAGATTCTAGATTCAAGTAAAAATTTACTTGTTATATGTGATAATAAACTGATTTTGCAGTATTTATCACCACATTGCTACTACATGTACATTGTTCATGACTAATGCAATAAATGCTATTTTTGCATATTTTGACCTTTATTTGGTAATATACATTGATTGTAAGTGCTCTTAATGTGTAAATTATTTTCTTTGTTCACTTCACAATATTTACTTTCAAGTACATTTTCAAAAATTTTCATGAATCTGGAGGCAAGGTGCTTTAAAACACATAATATTGTCCAGTTTAAATATTCAAGTTACATATTTCTGTTTTGATTTTAGATTCTATTTTGGATGACAGTGTGGATCTTTCTGTGCCAAAGCCTGCTCCTAAACCAGCTGTTGTTGATAAGGTAATGTATATAATGATAAACTACCTCTGTACCTTACGTTTTTATATTGATTGCCCACTGAAAGATCTTAGTGGAATATTTCTGTCCGTCCTTGCTTTATCTTGCTGTACCACTTCTTACCGCATCTTTATATTTTGTCTGATATCTTCTGTAATTTATGGCAATATTAACTTGTACAATGCACAGGGATAAGACGCTTTGATCTTATATTATCCCCTACCGCTTAACCCCCCTTCCCTCCCTCCATCCAGTCCCTGTTACAACCCCCAAAAATATAATTAAAAGTAAATTTCAACATTTAGTATGCATAACAACAATGAAGGAGGGAGGGGTGGGTAGTAGAAGGGTATCATATCAGATCAAGATCAGTGTCTTATCCCTATTATAGTACAATGTACATGGGAGTGCAGAAAATTTTCCAAAATAACTAAATATTGTGTATTTTAAAGTCTAAGCCATTAAAAAGCATTGCAAGGCAGTTATAGGTAAGTAATAAATGACTAGTTGTTCACTTATACATGTATTATTTTTCATTCTTATTTACTTCCACCTTGTTATTCCAGGAGGCTGAACCAGTTGTCAAGAAGATTACTTCACCACAGTAAGTCATTCTTAGACTTGTTATTTTTCTAGACACCAAAAGAAAAATTCTGCATATTTCTGTTTTCTTAATTTTTTTTTCGATTATGTTCAGTTATTTGTAAAAATCGTTTTAACCTTATCAGTTGTGCCTTGATACATGTAAATGATCAGGTTAAGAGGTCCATGTATACTTGTGGATACATGTTAATACAAATTAAGCAGTTAAAACAATATGACTGAAAAAGATAAGTATAATTTGTGTAAATTTTTATGATTTTTTTTGTGTGTGTGTGGTTCAGGAAAGATCTTTTACCATTTAAGCTCTATAAACATATTGATTAGTCTCAGTTTTTAACATTCTACATATAATGAAAAGCCCTGGCATACAATTTGTTGGGCTAACTTATTGATATGACCTTCATATTAAGGATAACCCTATAACTTTTTCTTTATTTTAGGAAAACTGATGATGAAGCAGAATCAAAACCTAAACTTGTGTCAACTCAACTGTCTGCTGAAGAGGTAGGTTGTACAAGCTTTTTAGCTCGACTATTCGATAAGAATAAGTAGAGCTATTGTAGTCACCCGAGCGTCAGCGTCAGTGTCGGCGTCTGCGTCGGCGTAACCACTTATGTTAAAGTTTTTGTAATAGTTCAAATATTTTCAAAGTCCATTGACATATGGTTTTGAAACTTTGCACACTTGTTCACCATCATTACCCCAACCTGTAGACAGGAGGAGGTAACTGTATCAAGCATTTTGACAGAATTATGCCCCTTTTTCGACTTAGAATTTACGTTAAAGTTTTTGTAATAGTTCAAATATTTTCAAAGTCCATTGACATATGGCTTTGAAACTTTGCACACTTGTTCACCATCATTACCCCAACCTGTAGACAGGAGGAGGTAAGTGTATCAAGCATTTTGACAGAATTATGCCCCTTTTTCGACTTAGAATTTACGTTAAAGTTTTTTGTAATAGTTCAAATGTTTTCAAAGTCCATTGACATATGGCTTTGAAACTTTGCACACTTGTTCACCATCATTACCCCAACCTGTAGACAGGAGGAGGTAAGTGTATCAAGCATTTTGACAGAATTATGCCCCTTTTTCGACTTAGAATTTACGTTAAAGTTTTTGTAATAGTTCAAATGTTTTCAAAGTCCATTGACATATGGCTTTGAAACTTTGCACACTTGTTCACCATCATTACCCCAACCTGTAAACAGGAGGAGGTAATTATATCAAGCATTTTTGTTTACTATCAAGCACTAAGAATAGTCGAGCGTTGCTGTCCTACCGACAGCTCTTGTTATTCCCATATAATTAAACAAAGTCATGTAAATCACTGTATTAATTATGCTGAACACTAGTAATAAACAGAAAATCTTGTATGTCTCCAGTATAGGACCAGGGCAACGTTTACTCTGCCTGATAAGACTGTATTTAGCTACACACTTTTAGTATTTTGATATTGAAACTCCATTGCAACACCAATTAATATTCAATTTTAAAGCAGCAGTTTAATCTAGTCATATAACTAAGTCACAATTTTTTTATTTCAATGTTTATGGTTCTACTTATGTGTCGTTCATACCTAAAATAAATCTCGGAAAGGCACCTAAGGTCGTCCTCCACCAGTATTAAATGCTGGAATGTCGCCTTATGGCCTTTACCATCTAGGTGCAATGTAAGTTTGTCTTACATCACACCAAGACAAGCAAAGGTCTTATGGCGGTCTTAGACCGAATACAAAAAAAATGACAAACTTTAAATGCACTGTTCCAAACTCATAGCAAGTTAATTTATCCATTACTGAAATTCATCAAGTTAAATGTTAAGACCTAAAGGGACTCCACTGAGGTTTAAAAGCCTAAAAACATAACATTAGAATTTCTTACATAAATGAACTGGGGCGCTTTAAACAGAAATATATGCAAAGATAGTTAAGAAATATACTTTAAAATAAATCGAAAATCGTAGTTTTATGCTTTTCTAAGCCTAATTTGAGTGAAAAGCATTTAAACGCTTTTCATTTTTGGTCATTTTTTACAATTTGAATAATTATTATGGAAAAACGAAGTGCGCGAATGATTTGAAAGTTTGCACAAAGATTGGTGGTCTACACCTACATCAAATGGTACATTTATCTGGAAAAAAATATTTTCAGTCCCATCATGTCAAAAAACCTCAGTGGGGTCCCTTTAATAAAGAATGTTTGTATTTCAGAGAATGAAACAGAGAGCAGAAAGGTTTGGTGTGGTAAATGAAGATTTGAAAAAGCAGATCAGAGCAGAAAGGTACTATAAAAGATTATTTGAAATTGTTTTTGCATTTTAGGTGAAATTTGGCAAAAATTTTGCCTAAAATGTCTTTGTATTACCTTTACTGAAAGGAAATACATTAACATTTTTCCACATCCATCCATCCATTCAATGATTATTACTTGAAGTGTTTATTCCCTCCATATTCAGGTTGCTTATTTATTCAGCTCAGGGTATGTTAAGCAAAGATTAGATTTCACGAGTTCTGTTCATTACCAAGTATATGGAATATCCAGTTAAATTACGGATATTATCAATTGCCAAAACATAGTGTTATATAAACATCTCGGATTTTGACAGAATTACATCTCTTTTTGAACTCAGAAAAATTCTACATTATCCAGGCTATGTTTTACTATCAAGCACTTAGAATAGTCGAGTACATTGTCCTAGATGCAGCTTTTGTTTACAAACAAATTCTTTTTTACAGATTTGGAACCAGTTCACCATCATCAAAGTTGTCTACAGCTGGAGCTGGGGTATGTAGATCTTCCCTTCTAACATTTATACCATTCTCTCTTATTTTTCACGAGAAAAAAGAAACATATTTTCAATTCATTCCAGTAATAAAAGCTCTTTGGCCATTTTTATTCAAAGACCTTAGTTCAGTAACAATTAACTCCTATTAAATTGTATAAGGAGTAAATCCATTTCTGCACTCAGGTGAGGGTATCAAAGTAATCTTCAAAGTTTTGGAAGTGAAAAAATTGCTTAAACATGCCTAAGCTGCAAAAGTTATTAAAAACCCAATTGTAAGATTTAGCATATTTTAGATTGTATTGTGTTTTCATTAGATACATACCTGACATACCAATGGTCTAGTTATTAAGGTGTCTGTCTTTCAACCCAGGGATATTCATGGTAAAAGCCATGTTTCCTTAAATGATGCCAGTACTGGTTTCTTCCAGGAACTAAACTTGAGAGGGTTTCAAATAATAGTCAAACTTTCCTTGAATATAACTTTATTATATAAGTCAAAAAATTATGATAGAACTAATTAAACTAAACTTTGGAGTTTTATAATTGCAGCAAAAACGCTTCTTAAACATAAATTTATTACTGATACAGGACTGCTTCTTTACAATAGTCTTGTTATTTTACAGGCAAATAAAGATATTGTATATCATTTTGTTATTTTACAGGCAAAGGTATTGTGTATATATTCTTGTACCAATTTGATGGAAAAAAATATTTTTATTAGGCTGATACAGATGCTTTAAAGAAGAGGGCAGAAAGGTTTGGCCAAGTTTTATCCCCAGCGTTGTCCAAAGTTGATGAGGCAGAGAAAATACGCAAAAGGAAAGAAAGATTTGGAGATGTAACGTCGGCAACAAACAACGGACCAAATAAACCCAAACTGGTGAAAATAACTATGAGTTCTGCAGAAGAGGTATGTATTTAAAGCTGCACACCTCCAGATGAGCCAAATTATTTTTTAAAAATCGAACTTGAGAAAATATCCTAAGACTTTAAGTAGAAATATTTAAGATAAGAGTAATAACTAAAATGATATGTGTGATTAAAGATTGACTCAGCAGTATTTATCACACTAATATCGCAGAATATTTTTGGATATTTTGACATCTTTTGGGTGGACAGTAAGAGCAGTTAGCTATTTATAGATTACATTCTTTGTTCACTTTACAATATTTAACTTTTAAATACGCTTTCAACATTTTTATATTTAGCATGAATCTGGAGGCGTGCCTCTTTAAAGATCCTTAATTTTTTGGTATTATATCATCTTAATGATTGATGTTTCTAGATTGAAAATTACGCCATTTAGTATGTTTAAATGTTGAGTTCTGCTTAAGTAGGTGCTAGGGGCGTGGATGGTGACTTGCACCAAGAACAGGCTCAATCAAACTGAGGCTACAACATTTACAATTTTATTGTTTTCAATGGACACTCTTTTCATGATTCTGAAGTAATTTTATGTTCATTTTCTACTACCAAGTTGAGCTCAAGTAGCTATGAATTTCAAAAGAATGACTGTTGTTATTGCTCTCAGATTTTACTGATTTTTCCCAAACTGCATTTACTGAAAAATGGGTTATTGATAATTCAAATGAAGTGGGAAAATTATATTGAAAACAATTATGGCCTAATTAAAAGTTGGTGAACTTTAATGACCTTTGCTTACCTCTATTGACCTATGCTGACCTACAATGACGAGTGATGACCTACTTTGTTCTGTGATGATCTCTAATGACTTGTGCTGATCTACATTGACCTGTGATGACCTCTATTGACCTATGCTGACCTACAATGACCTGTGATGACCTACTTTGTTCTGTGATGATCTCTAATGACTTGTGCTGATCTACATTGACCTGTGATGACCTCTATTGACCTATGCTGACCTACAATGACCTGTGATGACCTACTTTGTTCTGTGATGATCTCAAATGACTTGTGCTGATCTACATTGACCTGTGATGACCTACTTTGTTCTGTGATGATCTCAAATGACTTGTGCTGATCTACATTGACCTGTGATGACCTCATATGACCTATGCTGACCTACAATGACCAACTTTGTTCTGTTCTGAGATGACCAACTATAGCTTGTGATGACGTTATTTTGATACATGATAGTATTATACTTTATAATGTTAACCTATGAAATCCCACTATGTTATACATATGCATATATTTTTTCTGCATACATAGATCATGGTTGCTTGTTTCATGATTATAGGAGCAGAAGAAGAAGAGGGCTGAAAGGTTTGGAATGTCGTGAAGTCCTAAATATTTTATATGATGACCATTTTTCACAAAACTTGAGAAAAAAACAGCAATTTAAATTCATAGCATCAACTTCTTAAGGCAGCTATATAGAAGGTAGATGTACTTAAATGGTAGATGTGTGGTTATTTTAAGGTACTTATTGGTATATCTAATTGGCTGACATTTCTTCGTTAAGGTACTTAAATTGTAATTAAGGTACTTAAATGGTCAACCTACCTTAGAAAATACGGAGATATGAAAATTAATAGACAGTAAATTAAGCATCTTAATTGGTTGATAATTGTATGTTTAGAAGTAAAACTTGCTGTAAATTAAAATAAAACATCAAGGTACTTAAATGGTTAACTTTCTTATATTTTTGTACTTAAAAGGCAAGTTCTGAGTCAATAAATTTTGGTACTTAAATGGTTGACTCTCCTGTAGTGTAATTTAGATACATTAGACCTAGTTACTATAAAGGTAGACTTTTTGTATAAATAGGCACTAGACTGATAGGTCATTTAAAAATAAATAGCTAATCATCATTCAGAACTAAACATGCATTGATAATATAAAGTGATACATTGAGAATACAAATGTGAAAAATAACAAGGTATTTCAATATTTAAATGATAAATAAAACATAAAGTATGGAAGTCAATGGGCCTTCATATCTAAATTTGTTCACATAAATATTTTACAAAATAAGAAGAGATAAAAAGACAACTTCAAGTCACGATCATTATAAAAAGTAATGAAAGAAAAACAAAAACAGAATATTTCTGCCTTTGAACAAAAGTGTGTCTAAGATGATAACAATATATTAAGTGGTTGTCTTTTTGATACAGTGTTAAAATTTAATGTTGGTTGTACATTATGAAAAGTGAAAATTAAGGAGAGGAAGGAGGGGAACAGAACATTATTTTGGTAATTAAATTATGTGCATAAAATATTTCTTTAATCGGTTTTGTCTGAAAAGTTTAGTCCTTGAGCTGGACAGAGAGGCTGTGTCTTCAAAGCTCAAAGTTCTTTTCTGAATAAAATAAAATGTTTGTCTCAATGTGAAGATGTGCTTTATTTAGAATATTGTATAAAAGATTGATGATGATTATGAATTAATGAATAAATTGATTAGATGCTAACAAAATAGCAAGAACTTATTCATACTAATAATTGTAAAGATTAAACTACCTTACAAGTAAATGTGCTGCAAAGTATCAAGCTTGTGTATATGGAAGAAGATTTAATTGATTTAAGAATGTTTTGTTCCAATATTGGATTAAATCTAACTTGATGAATGATATGTAAATGTTTAATAAAAACTATTAAACAAACTCATAAAAATGTACTATGGAAAAGAACAAGGCTTGACTGTTGATTTCTAATGAAGACGTTTAAAAGCCATACAGTATGTGATATGAAAAGTTGAATTTACCGACAAGTCAATTATTATAAAACATTGCCAAGTATAAGTGTCAAGCGAGTCTTATGTAAACCATCGTTCAGTCTATTCGTAGGTTTATTTATCATATCAACCTCCTCTACCAAACAACGGGTAGATCCGAAATCAACAGCAGAACAGATGCATAATTACATGATTCAGTGTTACACAACATTAAAACTACACATGCATAACATATATATACAATACATATGTACATAGACATTAGTATTGTGCTTTCAATTTCTCTAAAATCGTTTTTACTACAATCAAAAAAATAATGATGTTTGATACTTCTGATACATAATGTACATTAAAGATGTTTCCTTTTTACACTATTGCAATAATTATATGGCACACAAGGTTATGTCTTACATATTAATCTACGTCCATATTGGTCGCATATTTTTGCCTCGCTGTTAAAAGTTTTTTACGGAGAAGAGCGTCTTACTAGCTTATGCGTGGTCTACCTTGGTTGTTTCCAATAGCATCTTTACGCTCAAGATTTTGCGAAACCAACAGGTATATAACAGAAATGAAGATTGACTGATAACTGGTTGCTGCATGTAACAGGTTTTATGTTGATTTGAGTACGATGTATGGTCTGGCCTTTTATCTGTTTTAAAGCTGTATGGGCCACCAAGTTTTTCTGTTTTGACGGAAGGGATTTCATTTTGTGCCCATATGAACCAATACTAATAGAGAGATGCTAAGTTAATGAATTCCCAGATTGCATGTAAGGAAAAGTACCATTTTTTGACTAAAATGGATTGTTGTAAATAAATCAAGCAACTTAAATGCGTAGCACTTTCAAAATTTTCATCTTCACTTATTTAATTTTGATTTATATATATAGAATTTCATTTTTTTATTAAAAAATCATATCTGATGATTTAGGTATTTTAACAAGCCTGATTAGCTAGGGGTTGCTAGAAATTTATATGCTGTTAAATCAGAGGATGAGACAAGCAGGAAGCGAGTACCAATCACCGTTTGAAAGAACCAATACTTACGTAGAGTATGATTCGGATATCTATTTTTAACTCACTTTATTTAACTAATACAGTTAAACTTGCAAATAAAAATCACCTTGAAATATATTAAGACAAAATGTATTTTGTTGAAATTGCTCTTAAAATTGAATATAAAGATTAATTTTAAACAATTATTCATGAATAGATATTTCTGATTTAGGTCTGGTTTAAAAGGTTGTATTCAATGCAAGTTTGACTGTATTAATCAATGTTTATTTTTTTATGTTATTTCTAATACAATTTTTAAACACATGAATAAGTTGTGAAGCTGTCAGTTGTTAAATGCAGTTTTAGCTTGGAATACAAGTGCATGCATTGTTTTTGTCTTGCTATACAGAAGTCATTTTTTTTTCATGAGATAGATTTTATACTTGCCAAGAGAATGTTAAAAATCTTGACTTTGTAATAAATTGGAAATCTTATAGATTGTGTAAACTGATTTTGTTTATCCAGATACAAACATGTTTGTCATTGCTATAGACACTTTATTTAGCATTTTACATTTGCATTTCATTGTTATTAACTGTATAAAAGATTTAAGAAAACAGGCAATAAATTTATAATGATTTTAGTGATGGGTCTTTCCCACACAGATATGTTTGAAAACAGTTAAAAATTTACAAAATGACAGTTCATAATTATGTATTTCATAATTATGTAACTTCAATCATTCTAGAATTTCAAATTTGGATAATGTGCAACACATTATTCCCCAGTTCTACTTGCATTTGTTGTAGTTCAAAAAGAACAATACTTTTTCTAAGATTAAACTTCTGTCATTAATCTACTGAACTCCTTAAATTGATTTGCTATTGATCATTCCATTTGAAGTGAAAGTTACTGTAAAAGTGGTTAATTTTGCAACATGGAAATATTTATGATTTTTGCGAATTGAAATTGTTCGCAAATATTTGATTGTGCAAACATTTTTTTAGGCAATTTTTTTTTCTATTATGTGAAAACACATTTTCATACAGCATCTTACATGAATAAGTTTGATTACAGTGATTAATTTTTTAGCTCGACTTTTCTATGAAAAGGGGAGCTATCCTACTCGCCCCGGCGTCGGCGTCGGCGTTAGCGTTGGCGTCACACCTTGGTTAAGTTTTTCGTACCACCCCACTTTATTTCAGAAGTATTACAAGTATGGCTTTGAAACTTACCATACTTGTTCACCATCATAACCTCCATCTACAGACAAGAGTACATAACTCTGTCAAGGTTTTTGACAGAATTATGCCCTTTTTTTGACTTAGAAAGTGTATTGAGCTTGGTTAAGTTTTTTGTACCACCTCACTTTATTTCAAAACCATTGGAGGTATTGCTTTGAAACTGACCATACTTGTTTACCATCACGACCTTCATCAACAGACAAGAGGACATAACTCTGTCAAGGTTTTTGACAGAATTATGCCCCTTTTTTGACTTAGAAAATACATTGAATATGGGTAAAATCCACTTATTGCCTTAACCCTTTGAGATATTGCTTTGAAACTTTTAATGCTATTTCACATCATTACCCCCATCTGTACGCAAGAGAAGGTAACTCTGTCAAGGATTTGTTTTTAAAAATTAAGGCCTTTTATCGACTTAGAATCTTGGTTAAGTTTTTAGTACCAGTCCACTTTTTGACTGAACTGTTTGAGATATTAATTTGAAAGTTGGAATACTTGTTTACAATCATGATTCCCAAACATGTCCAGGAGAAGGTAATTCTGTCAAAGATTTTATTTGAATTATGGCCCTTAACTGTCAATGTTTTGTATTATAGGCAAGCACTAAAAAACTTAAAAAATCTAAAAAAATTCATTCCTATCCACTTGTTCACTTTACCATAAATTATGTCATATAAACATTGCTGTAATATTCAAGGGTATCAAACAACTAGTTCACTTTAAAAATACAGAGATTCTTGTATTGCCTTTTACTGCAAAAACTTTTTTTATTGGCAAGCAATAAAAAAGTCGAGCGCGCTGTCTTACGGACAGCTCTTGTCTCATTGCTTGTTTGTTTAAGTTTGGTCTTAACTAATCACAAATATTATAATGAAACAATATATGTGTTAATATACTTAATAACACAATTCGTTATTCATGTAACAAAAGAATGTTTCAAATTATGACAAAGAAATGTTTGACCAGGTCCTTTATTAAACTAGCAATGTATATTTCAGACAGTTATATAAATAATAATGGTATTAAACAACTGAATAGAACAATTACAATAACAACATAGTCTAAACATGTACCTGCTTAATTAATGATATCATAGTAAACAGTATATAATCCAAGACATCATATTTTCCCAGTATTTCTGCACACAAAATGTCTGCTTTTTGACATTCCCAAAATTTTTGTGATGCATTAATATCCACTTATACAGTATTTCATTATCATGATACAAAGTTAAGCAACCAGTAATATAGGGCCTGGGCCCGTGTTCACAAAGATTTAAGGATCAAGATCAGGATCAAATTTAAAAACTCTAATATTCTTCATTGTTTATCCTCATAGATTAAATATCTAATATCATTTTGATAGAACTGGACTTGCAATAGCAAGTTCATGAAATTTTAAAATAAATTTATTGTTATTTTTACAAGATACCGGCATTTTACAGTTGATCCAAATTTTGATCATGATCCTTATTTTGATCCAAAAATTTTTGTATTTGTTTTGTTATTTGTTGATTTTATCCCAAAATAGTTTGGTTTCTTTGCAAATCAGCAATTTTTTACATTTTGAATACCTATCATTTAATTTTAGCAAAACACGATTAATTTTAGTACTTTAAAACAATGAAAATAAAATCAGGATCACTTGATCCCAATCTGATCTTTTTTTATTGAACATGGGGCCTGGTCAAACTGCATGGATTTTCAGGCTGGCCTGGCTCTATACTGATGGCGAAGTCAAA